GTTTATTTGTTCTGTATACTTATACTGTATGTATGGCTAGTAAAATAATGAATATTGAATTTACCAACTGGATTCATGCCATATTTGGAATATTTTTCAACTGAATTTAGACTCTTCAACCAAGGCTATAATAATACTAATAATAATAAAGCATCATGGGTCTGACATGCATACCCCTATGCATGTCATCACCTTTCAGAGTATTTTGTATGTTTTACTTTTATTTCAAAGAGTGATGGTGTGTATATGTATATATATATATATATATATATATATATATATATATATATATACACACACACACATACAGTGGGGCAAAAAAGTATTTAGTCAGCCACCAATTGTGCAAGTTCTCCCACTTAAATAGATGAGAGAGGCCTGTAATTGGCATCATAGGTAGACCTCAACTATGAGAGACAAAATGAGAAAAAAAATCCAGACAATCACATTGGCTGATTTGGAAAGAATTTATTTGCAAATTATGGTGGAAAATAAGTATTTGGTCACCTACAAACAAGCAAGATTTCTGGCTCTCACAGACCTGTACCTTCTTCTTTAAGAGGCTCCTCTGTCCTGGACTCATTACCTGTATCAATGGCACCTGTTTGAACTTGTTATCAGTATAAAAGACACCTGTCCAGAACCTCAAACAGTCACACTCCAAACTCCACTATGGTGAAGACCAAAGAGCTGTCGAAGGACACCAGAAACAAAATTGTAGACCTGCACCAGGCTGGGAAGACTGAATCTGCAATAGGCAAGCAGCTTGGTGTGAACAAATCAACTGTGGGAGCAATAATTATAAAATGGAAGACATACAAGACCACTGATAATCTCCCTCGATCTGGGGCTCCATGCAAGATCTCACCCCGTGGGGTCAAAATGATCACAAGAATGATGAGCAAAAATCCCAGGACCACAGGGGGGACCTAGTGAATGACCTGCAGAGAGCTGGGACCAACGTAACAAAGGCTACCATCAGTAACAAACTATGCCGCCAGGGACTCAGATCCTGCAGTGCCAGACGTGTCCCCCTGCTTAAGCCAGTACATGTCCGGGCCCGTCTGAAGTTTGCTAGAGAGCAACAGAATGAATGGGGCCATGTATTTTGAGTGCAAACCTCCTTCAATCAGCAAGGGCATTGAAGATGAAACGTGGCTGGGTCTTCCAACAGGACAATGATCCCAAACATTCCGCCCGGGCAATGAAGGAGTGGCTTCGTAAGAAGCATTTCAAGGTCCTAGAGTGGCCTAGCCAGTCTCCAGATCTCAACCCCATAGAAAACCTTTGGAGGGAGTTGAAAGTCCGTGTTGCTCAGCGACAGCCCCAAAACATCACTGCTCTAGAGGAGATCTGCATGGAGGAATGGGCCAACATACCAGCAACAGTGTGTGCCAACCTTGTGAAGACTTACAGGAAACGTTTGACCTCTGTCATTGCCAACAAAGGATATATAAGATAGTATTGAGATGAACTTTTGATATTGACCAAATACTTATTTTCCACCATAATTTGCAAATAAATTCTTTCCAAATCAGCCAATGTGATTGTCTGGATTTTGTTTCTCATTTTGTCTCTCATAGTTGAGGTCTACCTATGATGCCAATTACAGGCCTCTCTCATCTTTTTAAGTGGGAGAACTTGCACAATTGGTGGCTGACTAAATACTTTTTTGCCCCACTATATATATATATATATATATATATGATTTGTACTCACAGAGTACCTGTGAGTCACATACCCTGACTTAAAAAAAGACACCTTACATGCTCCTTTATAGCACCTACAGTATATAACTTTATCTCAAATTGTCAATAAGTTAAGGTAGCTCTCCAATAATATAAATAACATAAGTGTTAAACTACTGTGTGCAATACTACAATGTCCTGAGTACTATAGATTAAATATTTCCTTTTAAAGTGAATTACTGATAAACACAGTTGATTTACAGTTTCATTTTATTGTAAATAGTTGGCGTCTATGTCACCTCACATTCTCTACTAAATCACAACCAACAAAGCAGAAAACTGAATTATTCTCAGCTGTTAGATTGCTTAATTTAATATTTACAGTGAGCTCCTTCTTGTCCTTCTCAGGAATGAAACAAGCATTTGTGCTATGTCACAAAACATTAACTACTGTCAGGGTAATTCTATTCTGGGTGATAATTTTGAAGTGTGCAGTGCCATACATTTATAGCCTGCAGTACTGTACTCTAAAGGAGAGAGCTCACTGAAAATAAAAAAATATTTTCTAAAATCCAAATAATTAATTAAAATATTTAAATGTGCACAGTGATTGAATACTTGCAACTGAAAAGGTAAAGTCGCTAAAATTAATTTCTGGAATCCATCACCTATTAGTTTTTCAGAAACTCTAGAATTTCTTCCACTGAGCTCTCAGCTTCAGCATGTTTTCACCCTAAATTGCATCAATAATGAATAAATTAATAATGGTTTAAACAAAGGAGCATAGTATAAAGCAGTAAATGTAACATTCACTATACTTTCACTGCAGGAAAATTGCTATAATTCATAGCACATGAACCAGGAAGATATACCTGCAGTGAATGTTTGGCAAATGCCACTTTAACCACTTTATGAAAATATACCCAAGTTTCCATTTATTCCTATATTTGTTACTGCTTGGGGGTCTTTCCCTCCAAAATCACAATGTTTTTGCAAAGATTGTGGATTTTGAACACATTGAAATCCGTTCCTATAATACATACCATTGAAAAGAATACAAACTAAATTTAGTTTTCATTGGACTGAATTACTCATAGGAAGATTCTTCATTCTTCATACTTAATTTTTCATCAGCATTCAGGCTGATGGACTGAGTCTTTATACTTTACTATGTACACTCAAAGAATGCTCTGCTTAAATGTACAACTATGCATGTTAATATACATTTCTGATGGTTACATAAATGCATGCATACATACTGTAATGATATATTAGCATGTTTAATAACAAAAGCCTGCCTTTGCTAGATGTTAAAATGATACATCTCTGCTACAGGTGGTTGACAGCAGAACTATCTGTAAGTAGGGATGAGGTTTAGTTCTGGAACCACCTTGGTTTAAGTCAGAACTCACTGTTTCATGGTTTAGTGAAACTCCAAGGTTTGGCAGAAAAATCACCCCTGAACCCATAATGCACTGCACAACCTTTGTTGATTCCTTTTTTTAATGCCACATAAAAAAAAGTTCAGAATTGAAAAAAAACAAACTTTTTTTCATTTGTAAATAATGTCTTAATGTTTTTTTCTTTTTCCAGAATCATAATTAAAGGGGTTGGTTTACTAATACTAGAGAATGCAAAATCTGGTGCAGTTGTGCCATGGTAGTCAATCAGCTTCTAACTTCAGCTTGTTCTGCATTCACTAAGTTCTGGGGAAAATTGGTGCAACTGCACTTTCCAAGTGCATGGTCTATTCGCCTTCAGTAAATCACCTTTTTTTCGTCCTTAAAAAAACAATATATGAATGACTTTGTTATCTCAAGTTATGAAAAAAGTATTGACTTATAAACAGGTCCATAACAGAAATATAAAAAAATTATCTTTTCCTTACAAGTAGTGCAGTTGTGAGAACTAGAGTGGTAGAGTGTATTTTAAAAAGTTTAATGGTATTGGTAATTTCTTCATAAATTTAGGCCAAAATGTATTCTTCTGCCACATACATATCTTTGGTAAAACAAAATTCCAATAAGTGTATATTAATTGGTTTGTGTGAAAGTTATAGCGTCTACAAACTATGGTATATATATATTTAAAAAAATTGATCAATCCTGATGTACTGATGGCCTATATCATTTACTGATGTACATCTGATGGCCCTAAAATGTCAGGATAGTAAAATCACCATCCAAATGACCCCTTTTTGGAAAGTAGGCAGTCTGAGGTATTATATTTTTTGAAGATGTAATTTGTTTGTCATAATTTTATGGAAAATATTTCTTTTTTTTTCCACAATTATTTTTTACATACTGCCACCAGTTCAGTACGGCATCATGATATGACTGGTGCGGTGGTGATCAGGGATACTGACAGGTGACAGCATGTTAAAAAAAACTCAGTTTTACTTTCATCAGAATAGTTCAGTGTCACAATAGTATCTGGGGGGAATAATCAGGATTTTTTTTACACTTTGATTGCTGATACAATGAAGATCAGTGTTCCTGCAATGCTTTGAACTGTAATGAATGAGTCTCATTCATGAGAGCAGTGATTGATTGGTTACAGCTAATCACATGGTAAAAGGTGCTTTGATTGGCCTAAGTATGTGATAGCTGTGGGCCAGATCCCAGGGCCACTCAAGGTAGCTCGGTACCATGTGCCACAATCCACGGGGTCACAGGGAACAGGCAGCATGCACAGAGCCCCCCTAAGCCCAAGCAGGCCCAATGATGTACATGTACATGATTGTGCCTGCATGTGTTGCCATGCCTCAGTATATTTACTGTGGAGAGTCAGCAAGTGGTTAATCTTCAAGAGTCTTTTCTTTTTGCATTGGTTCTTCAGGGCAGTGTCCTTTCATGTCCTTCGGGACAGTGTCCAGCTTCTTAGGCGCTTTCTGTGATTTCCAACTGCCTATTAGTTTTGAAAATGCGTTGTTTACAAACAGAAGAAAACCAGCTAGGCCATGTCATTTAGTGGCCACAAATGTTATTCAACCACTAGCCTACAGGGCACTTAAAGCCCCTTCCTGCCCAGGCCAATTTTCAGCTTTCAGTGCTGTCACACTTTAAATGACAATTGCGTGGTCATGCAACACTGTACCCGTATGAAATGTTTATAATTTTTTTGAGACAGATAGAGCTTTCTTTTGGTGGTATTTAATCACCTCTGGGTTTTTTATTTTTTGCTAAAAAAAACAAAAAAAACATGAAAATTAAAAAAAAAAACATTTTTTCTTAGTTTTTGTTATAAAATTTTGTAAATAAGTGATTTTTCTCCTTCACTGATGTGCGCTAATGAGGCTGCAGTGATGGGCACTGATAGGCTGCACTGATGGACACTGATAGGTGGCACTGATGAGGAGACACTGGTAGGTGGCACTGATGGGCATTGACAGGCATTACTGATGGGCACTGAAAGGCAGCACTCATATATGGCACTGATAGGCGTCACTGATAGGTGGCACTGATAGGCGTCACTGACTTGCACTGTTAGGTGGCACTGACTGACACTGTTAGGTGGCACTGATAGGCAGCACTGACAGACACTGATAGGCAGCACTGACTGGCACTGATAGGTGGCACTGACTGGCACTGATGGGCAGCACTGATAGGTGGCACGGACTGGCATTGATAGGTAGAACTGACTGGCACTGACAGGTGACACTGAAAGGAAGCTTAGATGGGCACTGATATGTGGCATTGATGAGGCATTGATGGGCACTGACAGCTGGCACTGATGGACACTGACAGGTGGCACTACTGGGGCTACACTGATCATCAGGGCACACTGATGATCAGTGCACATGTCCCCTCTGAGGAATGCCGATTACCGGCTCTCCTCTCTTCTTGAGCTGTCAGCGTGACAGCTCGTGAGGAAAGAAATGCCGATAACCAGCCTTTCCTTATTTACATGTGATCAGCTGTGATTGGACACAGCTGATCACATGACCGAGCCAACATCTTCGGCTCTTTCTGTTGATCGGTGATCCGCTGTGTCCGGGTGACACAACGCACCACTGATCGCTGCGCTGCGCGCCCCTGGAGCCGTGCATGCGTGGTTAGAATGGGAATTCTCCCAGAACGAGATATCTGCCTTGCGCCCGTCATTACCTTATATAGCGGGAGGGAGGCGGTTAAAAGAATGTTGCATTTTTTATGTTTGACTTTAAGCCTTGTTAAAATAGCTGCTCCCTGATGAATGTTTTTTTTTTGCATTGGCACATGTGCCCAAGTGCATTACCCAACGTCTTGTGACCTTTTTTTTTTTTTTTTAACAGTCCCTTATTAGCTTTGAAAATTAAGAGAATTGATTTTAAAGGTTTGCCTTCCATTGACTTCAGTGGGTTTACATTAAAGTTGTCAATTTGTGCATTTTTGGCCATGGTAATCAAACATGCATGCAAATCAAACACGAACAGGTTCATCACTAGTTGTCCTGTACCCTTGTTATTAATACTATATTTCTGAATAAATTAAGATTGTTTAAAGTGGTTGTAAAGGCTAAAGGATTTTTTACAATAATGCATTTGTTGTATTAAGGTAAAAAAAACCCTTCTTAATGCAGCTCACTCACCAGCCCCTCCTTATACTTACCTGAGTCTGAAAAGGAAGCACACAGGTGGCGCAAACACCTAGTGCATTCTCCAAGGTTTATTATAAAGAAAAAAGACAAAAAGCATACTCACAAAATGCAAAAGACTAAATGCCACAATGATAGCAGAGTGTCCGACTGGTGGTACGGTTGACCGGTGATGCGTTTTGGGGACGTATCCCCTTCAGAGCTCTGAGGAAGGGCATACATCCCTGAAACGCGTCAACATGCAGACCATACCATCAGTCGGACACTCTGCCATCACTGTGGGCCATCATTGTGGCATTTAGGCTTTTGCATTTACTTCATTTTGTGAGTATGTTTTTTGTCTTTTTTCTTTTATAGTAAACCTTGGAGAATGCGCTAGGTGTTTGCACCGTCTGTATGATTCCTTTCCAGTTTTGATGATTTCCCAGTCTGAGGAGGGATGCACCACCAAGAATTTATCCATAGGCTATCAACTCATTGAACTCCCTGGCCTCTTCCTGACACCCCCCTCCCCTCTGTTTTGAGGCGCTGGAGAGATAGGGCTTTTTATCCAGTTTACCTGAGTCTGAGCTCAATCCAGTGCTGTGCACAAGAGTCATGGCTGTCTCGGCTCTTTCCTCAATTGCAGCCATTGAGGAGGGAGCAGGGGGCACACAGGGCCAACTTGGGGCCAAGCCTGCGTGATTGCCCCTATAGCAAGCAGCCTCTCTTTGGGTAAAATAAACTCTGTTCCAAACCACACCTATCCAAACTGTATGTTTTGTAAAGTTGCTAAAACCAAAAAAGTTCACATGAACCTGCTGTTATTCCCTTAGTTGTTCCTCCGGTAGCAGATACCCGTGATCAGACATTGTTCTATGATGTTTAGTCAGCTGGTCTGCATCTGCCTTTTGTCATAACATCATATTGTAATGCTTCAGGACCAATGATGGACACTTTGCAGTCAATTGGCATTGGCCATGTAACTAAGAAGAGACATGAGCACTGTAGAGTGGATCCTCCCACACTACAAAGCAAAGGAAAGAAGACTGGAAACTGATATGCCATGTGGTCAGCATTTTAGGTAAGTAATTAAAGCTTTTCTTTTTTATTGTTTTAAATACAACTTATAAGGATTGACATACTAAAGACAAATAAAGTGTTCACTATACAAGGGCAGTTGCAGACAGCAAGCAAATTTTCTTCAGCGCTTATTAAATGAGGCGAAGCTTCACTTTGTAAATAATAACCAATTACAAGCAAGGAAAATAAAAAAACAGCATTTTTGCCTGCACATGATTGGTTGATGGAAGTCAGCAAAGCATCTCATTTGCTAAACTCTGGATCAAATTCCTTTGCAGAATGCAACTGTGCAAAGCGCACAGTCTATTTGCCTTTAGAAAATTAACCGCAGGAGGGTTTTTTCCCCTTTCTCTATAATGTCATGGAGAATAAAGCAGAAAAGTAATAACACCTCAAAAAAAGGAAATGTCAGAGAAATTTTACTACTGAAAAGTCAAGAGATAAAAAAAAAAAAACCAGCAGTAGACCACATCTACTTTGATAGGAAGATACGTTTTATAACAAACTATGCTCAAATTTATGTCATTTTTATATAATTTTATAGTAAATTTTTGCTTTTATTTCATTTTCCTTTTGCTTCTGTGTGTTTAGTAAAAGGTAATATTTCTAACACGTAGCTTGGTACAGTGGATGTGTTTAACATTTATTTCATGGTCATTAAACAATTTTCCAAGAGCCTGCATGAAGTAGAAATGAAATAAAGCAGTGCTATCTACAATATATAAGTAATTTAAATCAATTATTCTTTACAGTGAATGAGCCAAACCATTTTCCCTACGTCATTTCTTTTACAATTGCTCTTTAGGGAGATTCAGTTTTATATCAGGGAATCTCTTTTTTTAAAATTGTTTATTATTGAATAAAATTATAAATGAACTAACATGCATGGTGTTACATTCAAAATAAGTAGCATTTATAAATGCTAGCCACTAAAAAATGTTGGGCATTGCACATTACACTTCAACCAAAAGTGATGCAGCAGTTCCATGCTTACTGGAAGGTAAAAATAAATAATATTGCATAGTGTATTTTTCTGATGTCAGGCTTATGTAAATGTAAAGGAAGTTTGCTGCCTTTAGGACAGCAATAAAGGGAAATATTTTCTTAAAGGAAACATGTATTTCTATTGAGCTTATATTTGAGTTATTACTGCAGAACATATCTTAAAAATGGGGGATTACAAGCTGATTCACACATGTGCAGTGTGGATTGAAGCTCAGGTTTCACAGATAATTGATACAGTAGTTGTTCAGCTGTTCATGTCAGGTTTACATCAGGTTCAGGATAAGATTAGCTCTCAGGATTATCCTGTTCGCACATATGCAGTTTAGAAATGGTTCCCATAGCAGTCAATAGCCTGTAATCTGCACCTGAACCAGACTGCACTGCTCAGAAATTGGACAGGACTCTTTCTCAAACTGCACTGAATCTGCACCGCCAGTGAATCGGACATATGTGAACAGGAACCATAGGAAGCAAGGTTTTTTCACATGTCATGCAAATTGGATGTGGTTCAAACCAGCAAGTGAAATAGCACTCAGTTCTGCAAAAATTAAAAGTCATCAGCTACAAAAACTGTAGCTTCACAGCTGGCTTCCCACTGCACATGTGTGAGCCTCACTTTGTGAATTTGTGAATGGTCCCACAGCCTTCGAGGACCCTTGACATATCCCAGAAGATTGCAGGCGGGGGAGAGGAGAACTTATGGTGAATCTGTTGCGGCAAGCTGCCCAGAAGTGGGAGTGGGTATCTGTCAAAATTAGGTACTAGCTCCCCCCAAAAAAAATCCAAATGTGACAGAGGAGGGGGGAGGGGGGAGAGGAGGAAGAGTGGAACTTCCCTTTTTTGGTGAAGTTCCTCTTTAGCATCCATCACCCAACAAATTCCCACCCCATTCCTCTCTTCTATCCCACTCCCATCAATTTTTCACTCATGATTCTCATGTGACTCTTTGTAGATTCTCTTCCAGGAGTGATGATCAGCGATGTACAGTGACTACATAATAAACAGATATGGCTGCTCTAATTGATAATTAATATATATTTATATACCAATATATAAAAAATAACACTATTCACATCAAGCTGATTTTTTACACATTTATTTACATAACTAGATATAAAAACTGTATCCCATAATCTGATACCTTAGGCAAGCATATTGTCAGGATCCAGATCCAGACCCATAGTCTCTGTTGTACCTGGCAGTGGCTCTTTCAACTTACTTACCTGAAGCTCTGGATAGCTGATACTTAGTTTTCTAATGAACTCTGAAATTTCTCCCCTTCACCTTCGCCCCTGAATTTCATATATCTGCATTTTCTGATTGCCAAATTATTGTACTTATGCAAATATCTTGCTGCAACTGCTTCACTGAGTCCTTATCACCATTACTAGTGTACCTTCCCTTTGATGCCAACTGATCTTATCACTTTCCTTTTCTAACCTGATTCATTTAGCTATTGACTTTGGATTGATCACCAACTACACTCCTGCCTGCTCTTTTTTGCTACTGCCTACTTGTGTACTCATCCTGGCCACAAAGTTACTTGCTGTATTATCTATTGGGCTCAATTTACAGATCATGACACATAATTTAGTTCCCCCCATCCCCATCATTTTCACTAGATTCTGGTGATCATTAGCACAGCTTATGCATTAGCAACTTAATGAAAACCCATATTGCATCAAGGGAGCTGAACGTTGTTGCTGGTTCATCCTTATTTAATTAAGGGTTCCTATTCTTACATTCAAATTCTTAAGCCCAGTAATCTATATCAACTAATCAACATTCAGTTTAACTAGTCTGTCTTCAATATAGGGAATTACAATTGGCTGCTCTAGGTTACTGTCCCTAAAAGTAGCAATTAGGACTTGGAAATCTGTACTATATAAGGCTAAGTTGCTACTTACTGAAGAGGAGTGTTTAGTTACAACAGTTACATTTTTTTTTTCTATGTTTTTATGACAGGTACTGATAAGGTAAAACATACAGAATTTTAGATCTTTTTAAGATTATAATAAGAATATGTTAGGTATAAGTTGCAGATACAAACATTATCTAGTAGATGTCTTCAGAAGAATTTTTCCCTCCTTTTACAATGGTGATTTTTTTCTT